GCACCACCGCCTTGGTCACCCCTCCCTGCCTCGTCTCCGAGACATGGCCTCCCGTGTCCTTGTCTCTGGTCTCCCCAAGTCCCTCCCTCCCCTCCCTCCGGGGCCTGCCCCTACCTGCGTTCCCTGCGTCGAGGGGTGGCAGCGCGCCGCCCCTCACTCCTCCGAGTTTCCTCCGACAGACGTGTGGGGCCCCGCCCGCGTTGCAGACTCTTCACATGGACGTGTGGGGCCCCGCCCGCGACCGTGGCCAGGATCACGAGCGTTACTTCCTGTTGGTGGTTGACGACTACTCGCGTTACACCACGGTGTTCCCCTTGCGTAGCAAGGGTGACGTCACTGAGTAGTTGATCGACTGGATCCACGCGGCTTATCTGCAGCTCAGAGAGAGTTTCGGCTCGGACTTTCCTGTTCTGCGTCTGCACTCTGACAGAGGCAGGGAGTTTTCCTTTGCCCTTCTGGGAGCCTTCTGTCGTGCACAAGGCATCCGCCAGACCTTCACACTTCCGGCCTTTCCACAACAAAATGGGATTCCTGAGCGCCGCATTGGCATGGTCATGGACGTCGCTCGTACGTCCATGATCCATGCAGCTGCTCCCCATTTTCTGTGGCTGTTTGCGGTCCGGTACGCAGCGCATTAGATCAACCTTCAGCCCCGGTTCTCCTTGCCAGAGACCTCCCCCACCTTGCGGTGGACGGGGAAGGTTGGCGATGCGTCTGCGTTTCGTGTCTGGGGAACTCGGACGTTTGTCTGCGGACAAGCTCTCCCCCCGTGCTGTTCCCTGCGCCTTCCTTGGCTTCCCTCCTAACGCGCCTAGTTGGCAGTTTTACCACCCCACCTCGTGCTGTGTTCTTTCCTCCCAGGATGTCACCTTTGACGAGTCGGTGCCGTACTACCGTCTCTTCCCCTACCGCACTGCGCCCCTCCCCCCGCCGCCGCTCTTCCTTGCGCCAGGTCCCCCCCCGGTATACCCCCTCCCCCCTCAGGGTCCTGCCCCGTCAGGTGTGTCCCAGGTAGACGCAGTCGAGCCTGTCGAGGTAGCTGTTGACTCTGGTGCTGCTAGGGGTGCTGAGCCTGGGGGTGCTGGGTCTGGGGGTGCTGAGCTTGGGGGTGCTGAGTCTGGGGGTGCTGAGCCTGCGGGTGCCGGGTCTGGAGGTGCTGAGCCTGGGGTGCGGAGCCTAGGGGTGCTGAGCCTGGGGGTACGAAGCCTAGGGGTGCGGAGTCTGGGGGTGCTGGGTCTATTCTTGTGGCCTCTGGCGGTGCTTTGTCGAGACGTGAGCTGCCCTCTCCACAAGAGCTGCGCGAGTGGTTTGCCGAGCTTGTCGACTTTGCTGCTCGCTGTCGTCTAGACTACACTGCTAGTCTTGTTGTTGAGTCCCAGTCTGTCTGTCCTCCGTCCGTCAGGGGTGAGTGTGCTCTTAGCACGGACGTCCTTGAGGACATGCGAGAGGAGTTCCAGTGTTTTGCTGCTGCTTTGCCTCATCTCGTGTACACGCTGATTACCCTTGAGGGAGACCCGGATGCACCAGACATCCGACTCCTCGATCGTACGCTGAGGCGATCGAGGGTCCCTACTCCTCACAGTGGCAGTCAGCCATGGACGCAGAGATGGCTTTCTGGAAGTCCACAGGCACCTACGTTGACGAGGTTCCCCCACGTGGGGCGAACATCGTCAGTGGCATGTGGATTTTCAGGGTGAAGCGGCCGCCGGGTTCTCCGCCTGTCTTTAAGGCGCGTTATGTGGCTCGAGGCTTCAGTCAGCGGCAGGGAGTTTACTACTTTCATACCTTCTCTCCCACCCCGAAGATGACCACTCTTTGGGTGCTGCTACACATTGCCGCTCAGCGCGAGTACAAGCTTCACTCTCTTGACTTCAGCACAGCTTTCCTGCAGGGCAGCCTGCACGAGGAGATGTGGCTGCGCTGCCCACGTGGCTTCACTGGGTCGTTTCCTCCTGGTACCCAGTGGAGCCTCCAGCGGCCAGTCTACGGTCTCCGCCACGTGCCCCGTGAGTGGCACGACACACTGAGGACTACGCTTGCGGCTCCTGGGTTTGCTCCTTCGACTGCCAACCTGTCGCTGTTTCTGTGCACCGACACCTCTTTGCCGCCGTTCTACATCCTCGTGTACATCGACGACTTGGTCTTTGCCACTACTGACACTACCGGACTTGCCCACGTGAAGTCCGAGCTGCAGAAGAGACACACGTGCACAGACCTGGGTGAACTGCGCAGCTACCTTGGCTTGCAGAACACCCGGGACAGAGCACAGCGCACCATTACCCTGACTCAGTCACACATGGTGCAGCAGGTCCTTCAGCGCTTTGACTTCACGTACTCCTCGCCTCAGGCCACTCCTCTGTCTACTCACCACTCGCTCTTAGCTCTACCTTCGGATGAGTCCGTAGAGCCGATTGGCCCGTACCCAGAGCTTGTTGGCTGCCTCATGTACCTGATGACCTGCACACGACCTGACCTAGCATACCCTCTTAGCATCTTGGAACGCTATGTTGCTCCTGGGAGACACCGACCAGAGCATATGGCTGCAACGAAGAGGGTGTTGCGCTACTTGTGCAGTACGTCGGGCAAGGGGCTAGTGCTTGGAGGGCGACGTTGAGTGGTCCTCACAGGTCACGCTGACTCTTCTTGAGCTAACGACCAGGCTACGCAGCGGTCGTCACAGGGTTACACCTTCAACCTTGGTTCCGGCTATGTTTCGTTGCGCTCTACCCGCTCGTCTTCTGTTCTCGGCTCCAGTTGTGAGGCTGAGATCTACGCGGGGGCCATGGCTGCACAGGAGCTACGCTGGCTCACCTACCTGCTGACTGACCTAGGAGAGCCACCTCGTTCTCCTCCAGTTCTGTACGTAGACAACAAGGCCATGCTGGCCTTGTGTCGCGAGCACAGGCTGGAGCACAGAACGAAGCACATTGCTCTTCGCTACTTCCTTGCTCGTGAGCTGCAGCAGCGTGGTCAGATGCGCCTTGCTTACGTGGCCTGTGCGGCCAACAATGCTGATATCTTTACCAAAGCACTTCCGCCTTGTGATCATCAGCGCTTCTGTACGATGCTAGGTCTTGTGCCTACTTGGCCTCACTTGCTCACTTCTTGACCTTGCTTGTACTGTGATCTTTCTATAACTGCACTTGCTTGTTTACCTTTATATATGATCTTGCATGTGAACTGGCCTTGTGGCCTTGCTCTTGCGCTCGGAATGTGTGGTGACGTTGTGATCCACCCTGAGCTTGCTTTGCTTTGCTCGACTGGTCTTGTGACCTCTTATACTCCCCCACTTTGCCTATGGGGGTGTGTCAAACTTATATGTTATGGTCTATCTAGGCTGTAGTGGGGGAGACACTATAGGGTACAACACTTTTAGGTTTTCCTACTTGTACCTACCTGCTTGCTATTTCATTCATTCCAACTCCAGCAGCCCCAGCAGCACCCCTAGTCCCAGCAGCTCCAGTACCGCCAGTACGAGCACCTCCGGGACCAGCAGCAACAGTAGAACCTCCAGCTCCAGCAGCACGGCTCCAGCGCCGGGCAAACCATTCCCGCAGCTCCTGCGGAGAGAGTAGCTCCAACCTTGACGAAGCACCGCGAGAGACCACACGAGCAGACCCAGCACCCCTAGGCTCCGCACCCCCAAGCTTAGCGCCCCCAGGCTCAGCACTCCCAGACTCAGCACCCCCAGGCTCAGCACCCCTAGACTCAGCACCCCCAGGCTCCGCACCCCCAGGCTCAGCACCTCCAGACCCGGCACCCGCAGGCTCAGCACCTCTAGCAGCACCAGAGTCAACAGCTACCTCGACAGGCTCGACTGCGTCTACCTAGGACACACCTGACAGGGCAGGTGCCTGAGGGGGGAGGGGGTCTACCGGGGGAGGACCTGGCGCAAGGAAGAGCGGCGGCGGGGGGAGGGGCGCAGTGCGGTCGGGGAAGAGACGGTAGTAAGGCACTGACTCGTCAAAGGTGACATCCTGGGAGGACAGAACACGGCGCGAGGTGGGGTGGTAAAACTGCCACCGAGGCGCCTCAGGGGGGAAGCCAAGGAAGATGCAGCGAACAGCACGGGGGGACAGATTGTCCGCAAACAAGTCGCGAACAAACGCTCGAGATCCCCAGACCCGAAACGCAGACGCATCGCCAACCTTCCCTGTCCACCGCAAGGTGGGGGAAGTCTCCGGCAGGGAGACCCGGGGCTGAAGGTTGAGTTGATGAGCTGTGAACCGAACCGCAAACGGCCACAGAAAATGGGGGGCAGCCACATGGATCATGGACGTACGAGCGACGTCCATGACCATGCCAATGCGGCGCTAAGCAATCCCATTTTACTGTGGAGAGGTTGGAAGCGTGAAGGTCTGGTGGATGCTCTGTGCATGACAGAAGGCTCCTGGACGGGCAGAGGAAAACTCCCTGCCTCTGTCAGAGTGCAGACGCAGAACAGGAAAGTCTGAGCTGAAACTCTCTCTGAGCCGGAGACAAGCTGCGCGGATCCAGTCGATCAACACGCCAGTGACGTCACCCTTGCTACGCAAGGGGAACACCGTGGTGTAACGCGAGTAGTCTTCAACAACCAACAGGAAGGAGTGAGGGGCGGCGCGCTGCCGCCCCTCGATGCAGGGGACGTAGGTAGGGGCAGGCCTCGGAGGTAGGGGAGGTAGGGACCGGGGGAGACCATAGACAAGGACTCGTGAGACCATGCCTCGGAGACGAGGCGGGGAGGGGTGACCAAGGCGGTGGTGCCAAAGGAGAGTCTGGTGGGACAGGAGACGACACGAGCAGGAAGCAGACTCAGGTACAGACCTGGACGCTGCAGCGAACACCTGACTCGACGCAGCTACTTGACTAGACTCAGCAATCGGAGGAGACTCAGTAGTCAGTGTGTATAGGCTAGACCTCGACCGACGGGTAAACGTGGCCAAGTGTCCGCCCGTCCGAGCACACGTGTTGTGGGTCACCCGCTGACTCGCATGAGTGAACTGGTCAACCCCCCTATCTTGTTAATTAACTCCACTCACCAAGTTTGTAGAGAACGAGGGGAGGTAGAGACCTGACAGGGTGCCAGAGGGGGCTGCCAGGCACGGTAAGACAGTGGAGAAGCTAGCAAGGACAGGACCCCCAAAGGGGTCCGCCAGGGAAACCGCAACCGGCCGACTAAGCGGCGTAAGCGTGGTGCGGTCTCGAAAGAAGGAGCAGGAAGCACCCGAATCAAGGGTGAAGGTGTGTAAGGCGTGAGCCGACGTGGTACCTGAGAGAGCAGACTCACTAGCATCTGGGGCAGTAGACACACTAGCACCTAGAGCAGCAGCCTCACCAGTAACTAGAGCAGCAGCCTCAATGCCCGGGTCAGGCGGAACACACAGGTAACAGTCACCCTCATCACTAGTAGAAACAGCATACATGGCAGCAAGAATAGCATCATAATCAAGATCACAGGTAGCAACCCCCACCCTAGACAGCTCTCCCCAGCGAGGGATCTCAGTGGCGTCAGGGAACTGGTGACGCCACGCGTCCGTCAGGCGGCCGAAGCAGCGCTGGGTGGAGTGCGGGCCCCCGCACTGCTCACCAGCGCGGTCGCCGGTACGGAGGACGTAGGTGCAGGGACCACTACCCCCACCTCGCTGACGCCCCGCGTACCACTCACAAAGCTGCTGGGGGGACGGGGTCTCACGACTGCGCTGCTGCTGCTGCTGCTGCTGGCGCGGACCACCACCGGAACCACTCCTCTGCGCAGTGCCGCGACCAGCTCCACCGCTGCCGCCGCCGCCTCCGCCACCTCCGCCACCTCCGCCGCCTCCGCTCCCTCCGCCACCGCCGCCGCCTCCTCCGCCTCCATTGCTGCCACCGACACCTCCACCCCGGCCACCACTCCCACCACCACCCCCACCCCCTCCACTGCCCCCGCCAGCCCCTTCTGCGCCCTTGCCCCCCTTGCCCTTGCCGGTGCAGAGTCTCCCGCTAGGGGCAGATGCAGCGCCGACCGACTCGAAGCTAACGAGGTCGGCCGCAGCAGCAGAAGCAACAGAGGGCAAGAGGGGGGAGGGGGAACACCCCTCAAAGACGGGGGTGCGAGGGTCACCACGAGAGGCTCCTACAGCGACTATGCTCTTCTCTGCTGCTAAGAAGCACTCCTCAAGGAGGTCAACGGTGAGTGTGATGGGGCAAACTGAGAGGAAGTGGTCCTTGACTAAGCGAAGGGAGTCAGGGAGCCGGGTGACTATGTAGTAGAGGGTGATGTACATGGAGGGGGGGGGGGGGGGTTCTTGGCACAGAAGTCAGCAGGAAGCGCAGCGTGGTAGCGAGTCTCACTAATGCGAAGGTGCGTAATGAGGTCAGCGACTGTGGGAAAGGCAGCAAGGTCAGGTAACACGTACGGCAGCATGAGGCGGCTAAGAGCAGCAGTGGCAGGGGAAGAGTGGCGTGCAACTACAGCGTCGTACAAGATCTTAGCACTCTTGTAATGACTAAATTGCGCTCGCTCAGTGGTCAGTAAGTGGCGACGCACATTAAGACGAGCAGCAGCATCGCGTGTGGCCCACTGTGAGCGAACAGTGCTGTCAGCATCAGTAGGTGGGGCAGGAGAGGCACCAGAGGTGAGATTGAACAGGGAGAGTCCGTCTGCCCTATCGCACTGTAGGAAGAGCTGGAGGTCATCGACCCAGACCTCAAAGTCAACAGCACGACCCTCAACATCAAATGTAAGGACACTGGGGATAGCCATGACTGCAGTGGTCTAGCAGGGAGTGATCTCACCAGTCCGAGTAAGTAGGGCTGGGGCGCGCCGGTAGGAACAGTAGCGGCTCAATGGCAGGGCGGCTCGGTGGCTCGGTTGCTGGGCGGCTCGGCGGCTCGGCTGTTGGGCGGCTCGGCGGCTCGGCTGTTGGGCGGCTTGGGTGCTGGGCAGCTGGGCTGCTGGGCGGCTTGGTGGCTTGGTTTCTCAGCAGCTGGGCGGCTCATCGGTGAAGGGGCTGGTAGAGGAGGCGATGGGGCCGGTAGATGCGGCGACGGGGCCGGTAGAGGCGGCGATGGTGCTGCAAAGGGCGGCGACGGGGCCGCTAAGGGTGGCGCGAGGGGCCGTGAGAGGGGACGCTAAGGGAGCGTGACGTGAGGGCGGCCTACAGGGCGCGCCTTGGGTAGGAAAAATCGAGTTAGGTGGTGAGCCCTTAGAAGCGTTCCCACGAGGGAACTGCTCTATACCATGTGAAGAAAGAGGAATGAATGAACTAGCAAGCAGGGGGGTACAAGTAGGAAAACCTAAAAGTGTTGTACCCCATATAGTCTACCCTACTACAGCCTACGCAGACTGAAGCATATAAGTTTGACACCTGGCTCGTTTCATATCCCTTTAGGGCTCGGAGGCTGGTGCATAGGCTTCGCTGGTCCCGGCTCACTCAGATCTCACATTTACTGCGGCTGAGTGGGGCATTGCTGCTGCTATACCAATTCAGCAGCTGCAGGTGGTGGGGAGGTGTGTTTGTGGCACAGCGTATGTTGACCTAGCGAACCCGCACCATGCCCTGAGATGCAACAGATGCAAGCACTAGCACGGTCCATCTTGGGTGCATGATGAGGTGAGGTTTACGGTGGCGAGGATCTCTAAGGCGTCAGGGGGGATGGTGACAATGGAGGGTAGTGTGGTGTTGCTGGGGAAGCGGGTTGATGTAGCAGTGCGACAACCCTTGGCCAAAGAAGCTCACGCTCTAGAGATCAGCGTCACGGACTCGCTATCGCTGTCTCCGTCTCTACAAGGGCAGTGCGGGTGTTCCATAGGCATGGCGGCAAGGGAGTGGGAGCGTCGCAAAACGAGTGATTACGCGCCTCTGCTTGCACGCAACCGGAGCGTGCAGTTCACCCCTTTGATAGTAAAGACATGGGGGTGTTCCGGCGGTCGTCTCCGGCGATGGCTTCGATAGCAGGGGGATGCACACTTGAGGCTAGCTGTGTCACGGGGGGCTTGTCGTGAGGACGACACTTCGTTTTCGGCTTATCTTTTGGGGTCTCTGAATACGCTCATCGGGTAGCGTTACAACGGGCGCAAGCCCGAGTCATCCTGCTTCGTCCAGCGTTTTCCATGGGGGGGATGAATATAAATTTGGTGGGCAAGGAGAGGGATGACGCCAAGGTGGAGGGCGGGACGCTTTGGGTGGAGGCTCCGTACAAGGTGGATGCTCACATGTGAATGAGGGGGGGTGAAGTGGGGTGCGGAATGGGGGTTCTCGATGGGGCGTCTTGACTGGGTTTTTTTATTGGGTGTCTTGATGGGGTAATTCATGTGTGTTGCTTTTAAGGACAAAAAAATGAAATGTTTTTGTATCTATGATGTTCTGCAACGTAACTAGTTTATCCCTAGTTGATAAAGTTATACAATTTTGACCTATTCAAGTTGAGATGAGAAATGCTCTTGTTAGCGCACTGACGGATTCCATTTCAACATGACTGTATTCTTCAGTTTGCCAAGAATCGATTCTTGACTTTTTGCAAGCACCCGTTGTCGCGACTCTCAGGACACATTTTGAGTGTCTCTGTTGTTAGGGAAGTCCCGAAAGCTGCCGTGGGGATATCCTAGCCATCGTATAAAATGAGAGTTACACAATTTGCAGATGAATGGACCAGATGGGAGAAGGTGGGGTGGTTCTAACTAAGCGAGGTGAGGAAAACCTGGGAAAGGAGGAGGGTTGGGGTAGTGGGGTTTTGGAAAGTAAGGAAGAGGGGCTGGCAAAATATGCCAGTCCTTGAAGATGAAACCGAAGCACTTCAATCTAAGGGTACACCTAGCCCGCGCCAATTTCAAACCCCGTTAGTTTTGGCTTCAAGCCCATTTGGACCTTTTTTGGCTTTGGGGATCAGACACCCAAGGAATTAGAGGCTATCGGTGGCATTGTAAAGTGTCGATGTTGTGGAAGTGTAACTTTGAGACCGCAACGTAAAGACAAGATCTTCTGCTGCAACTATGTTTCTATTTTCCCGCTGACTCTTAAGCGGAGTCTGAATCGTTAATTCCTAACCAGACTGTTCAAAACAACCCTCAGTTTCCAGGTAAATCAGGAACGAATAAACAGGGGTGTAAAATTTGAGGGTGTGAAAATAACGTGTAAAATTTTAATGTAGCCACAGATATGGTCCAGACTCCAGGGATTGCGCGGATCTCTAGCAGATCACTGTAGCACATGAGCCCACTTTTTTACAGTAAATGCAAGCCATCGTTCTTTTCTGACCTCATGCGAATCATACAGTGCTTCACGTTCATTTCCAAGTCCAGCATCTGATGGCCTAAGTGCCGATTCTTACCGTTTGTTTCATCATCGGGTTGGTAGGTAAACTCTGCCCTTGTAAGGAATTTTCCCGAATTCCTTATCGAGGTTGACTGCTTCGCGTACAACCCGATTTTCGGAGTTCGCACGTTCGGCCGATTTCAACGCTGCCGAGGCTCCTCGCGTCGCCTTCGGCATTCCCATCGCCAAACCTGCACCCAACCTCGCTCGTCCGAGGTTTCCTCCTGGCTAGACTAGCCCTGCATTAGTCTGTGCACTCGTTGTATTCGCAGTTCATTCAGTCACAGTCTCGTTATTCGTTTACCTGTGCACTCTCTTTAACAACTCATAACACCTGGCCTTAGAGCTACTTTCCTACTTCACCCCGCTTTTCCGAGGGTAGTTTGGTGGCATAGGGTGTGGCTGGTTTAGTGACTCCACGACGGTTGGCTGGAGGGATTGTTAATTCAATCCTGCCCGACTCCAAAAGTTCGTGTTTTCACTTGCCTAAAGGCCACGGAGACCCGATTGCCCACCAGACGTAGTGCTAGGCACATGGATTAGGAGGCGGTCAACAGGATGATGGCGCAAGTGGCAGAAATGCAGGAGAGCATGAAGGCATTAATGGCGGAAGTGACAACACTGCGATAGGAAAACGCCGAGCTACGCTAGACGCGAGGTGAAGCGCGTCAGGTGTCGCCTGTGGACGAAGGCGAGGGCAACAGTCAGGCGATGAGCAATCCACTGGATGCGCTCACACGTGACTTCGAAGAGGAGGACAGGCAGCGAGCGGTAGCAGCGCCAGTTGCGGTAACGACGATCAAGATCAAGCCCGTTAACCCGCCCCCGTTTAATCCTACGGACAAGACCGTTACGGTAAAAGGGTGGCTGTTCGGGGTCGAGGTCTTTTTTACTGCAGCCGGAGTTAATGACGACGCCACGCGTATTAATTATGCAGTTTCGCTTCTTCGAGGTGCAGCGCTTGAGTGGTGGCGCCGAACTTTGGAAACAGGGACGCCGACAGGTGTGACGCATGCGGCAGACGGGACCTCAACAGTGACTAATCAAGTGGCACAATCAATCTTCGGAGTGACCACGATACGCACGTGGAAGGACTGGGGCGCAGCCTTACGAGATCGCTTCGAGCACGTATCCGCCTCGAAGCAAGCTCGCATGAAGCTCCGTGCATGGTCGCAGATGGCTTCTGTCCAAGACTACACGGCGTCATTTATGGGCCTGGCCGACCAAGTTGATGACATGTCGGAAGCTGAGCGGTTAGATAAGTATATCAGCGGCCTCAAATATGAGATACAGTATGAGGTTCGCAGGGGCCGCCCGACGTCATTCTTTGCAGCAGTACGGCTGCCGGAGTCTACAGATGCGCTGATGCAGTACGCGAGAGCAACTTCCCGGGAAAGAAACCACTTTCGTGGCCAGACCCATCGGGCCACAATCAACGCCGTCCATACACCCGACCGCCCTCCACGAGAGACTCCCACGAGAAAACGCCGCTGACGGGGAACGACAGGAAGGAGCAGGGAAATGGGAAGAGTCAGTAATTAGCGGGCCCTTTAATGACTGTGCTCCGTCGCCCAAACCCCACCATCCCCACCGAGTTGTGGTTCCGATTCATGCAATCGATCGCACTCGGCCGAATAACGGGAATACACATATGGATCACCCTGTGCTAGTCGCTGGCAAGGTGTTAAAAAGTAACTTGAAAATGTTCGTCGATGGAGGGGCCAGCCATAGCCTCTTCAACTTGGCGAGCGCAAAAAAATGCAAGCTGCAACTTGACAGGTGTCTGCCCGAAATTAACGCCCGCCTCATGGATGGGACGCCTCTGGCGATAACGGAAGAAACACGGACGGTCAGGATTGAATGCGGTGATGATTTCGGCTTCAGCATGAAGTTTCTCGCGACAACATTGGACGGCTGCGACGTGCTGCTGGGACGTGATTGGCTGCGATGGCACAACCGGGTCATCGACTGGACAACGGGATCGTGCAGCATCAACAAGCACGAGGGGCTAATTAAACTACCTGCATGGACGCCTGACTACATCCAAGCCCCGTGCGTCAAAGCTATCACTATAGCTCGCCACTTCAACAGAGGCGCGCAACTGTTCGCTGTTTGCTTACGCGAGTTGGCGGTTGACACCGACGGAAAGGACATCGAGAAGCTGTGTGTAGCTGTACCACCGGATTTAGCGGAGCTGATTCGGAGGTACCCGGACATCTTCCCCGACGACCTGCCACCTGGAATGCCACCCGAGAGACCTAAGGACCACAAAATCCAGCTAGAACCTGGCGCGCAGCCGACTGTTTGGACACAGTGGCGGTTGACCCAGCCGGAACTCGAGGAGCTGCGACGACAAATTGATGCACTGTTGGAGAAAGGGTTCATTCGGGCCAGCACATCTCCTTTCGCAGCACCGATTCTGTTCACCCCGAAGAAGGACAGCGGGCTT